CTGATGCACTACGCTATTGCGAGAAGCTGTCAACTAACTCTCACTTGTAATTTTGTTTTGTTTTCCGTGGGATAAACAACCATGTTTATTGCGCAGCGATAAACGAGACAACAATGTGATCATGTTTTGTTGACGAAGCACAGCTGTGTCTATGAACCGTCTTTGAACATCAAGTATAAAACGTGTGTCGATGACCCTTTCATCCACGAAATAGGACGTTGAGTCTGCCAGGCCAACAGGTTTATATGGGCATAATAAATTCTTTAACATTAAGTTATCAAGAAGGAACTGCCTTGTAGTGTTTATTAATCAAATGGGGTCTACCAATCTGGGAATATGTGTGCTTTATAATGATATGCCCACGTAAATTATAAGAGAAATGAACTGTTTAACAATGAATTACACTTTAATGCACAGTGCCCAGAAAGGACAGGGCCAGACAGATACTTTCGCCCTGCAGTTTTGCATCTTTAGGTGGATTCACATGCTCGGAGCGTTTCTTGGCTAGCATACCTAAATTCGCGCAGCAGCTGGCATTTGGGAACGTTTGGGATACCACTACAAGCTATCGTATCTGTGCTTTGTATGCTGCTTGCCAAGCTATCATATAATTGATTGCTGTGCCACTGTTCCAGTCGCCACGGTTGTGAATGTGGGATTGACAGACAAGAGTGGACGTTGTGGGCAGTTTTTATGCCATCTTGCAACTGTCATAGTTTATACTCTTAATAATACAGTAAAACCTCGTTATAAAGAAGAGGAGCGGTTGTAATTATTTCGTTATAACCATTAGTTTGTTATAGCCAATGTCCATTTCTCCAATTACTCAAGCAAGGGGAATTATGATTGCTTTGTTATATCCATTAGTTTGTTATATACCATTTTGTTATAACGAGGTTTTACTGTAATTGGGTTGTGTGTATGTTTATACAGCCTAGAACTTGGTCTGCCTCAACAGGCGACGAGTCTCCCAGCTGTAGATGAGCAATTTACCCAGTGCGGTACAACCGCTAGCCTGGGGACTTTAAAGGGATACTTCAACGAAATTTGAAATATATCCGTCGTGCTCAAAAATAGGTTGAATATGATCCACAATATCAGTAAATGACAATCGAACGTTTGTATTTTGAGCCCGGTGGCTCTATTTTTTGTTATAAACGGCCCATTCTGGAAAGCGCTCAGGGAAGGCCCAGCTTAGAGCACGTGACATCCAATGCAATCGTGACGTAGGTCGTCTCGGGACGAGCAAAGCTACCGCGAGGCTGACGTCGAGGATGGCCTAGTAGTTCCAGCCACCGAAGCAGCTGCTTTTGTAAGAATTTTGAGTGACGGGTTAATCTTCTATAATCTTGTAGAGGGGCAATAACGACGTCTGGGACGCACAAAAGGGATTCTCGGGAAGAGGGGAGTTCCTCCTTCACCTCTTCTCTCGTCGTGGCCGGAGGCGAGACACTCACCGTCGCTAGCTGTCAAGGTTCCTAGATGGGCATTACAAACGAGGCGTTAGTGACATCCACTAAGTGCTCTTTGCTAATCGTTTAATTTGTTTTAAAATTCCTTTTCGTGACTTTTTTAACAACATATCGGTGTGTTCGATGTGATACTGCTCCTTTGAACATATATAGACCAAAAAATAAGCGCCGAAATTTCGTTGTAGCACCCCTTTAACGTGCATCATACAGTAGTGATACACAACCGCACGCCGGTACGATGCTCATCCAGATCGAAACGGGGGGGGGGGGGGGGGGGAGAGGGGGAGAGGGGGAGAGGATGGGGCTTGAACCCAGGATCCCTGGGTTCTGCAGCGCGAGCTTTCGCTCCACATGCTTTGAGCTGGTGTGCGCTAGACCACTCGGCCACCGATCCCGCCTTATACTCTTACATGCTTTTTTGTACAGTGGTAAAACCTAAACCCGCCTGTTATTCTTAGAAGCAGCTCTTGTATTGTGATGCAAACCACACATTTACCCGAAACATGTTAAAATGCACTGCTTTTTAGGTACTCAAACAGAGCCATCAATCTGCAATGTGGGCACCCAGACCAACAGCACTGGAGCCGCTCAAGGGCCACCCTCACAGGCACCACCTGCATGTCACTTTACTGATGACCCTTGGAAGCACTTGGATGAGTATGTGGTGCATGTGGTGCATGTGGTGCATGAGTATGTTGTGCATGTGGTGCACAGGCTAGAGATGGTGCACAGGCTAGAGGTGGCTAGAGGTATCATTATAAGTGGATTGCACTGTATACCAGGACCTCAACCATTTTAAGTACATAAGCTTTCTAAGAATATGTCTGGCATGGTGGGATGGGGATATTATTAAGGTGTTCGATATATGTGATATGCTTAATTTTCAAAGCAGTGTCCCTCTGAGACACGGCTTTAGCATTTGGCATGGGGCATGGGATGCTTTCATTCCTGGGTGCCGTCCCCATCAGGTTTAATCATCGGACACTGCTTTTGGGATGCAAAAGGTGCATGCGGGGTATTCGGAAAACCTTTCAAATTGGAGAGAAATGGCCATACTTTGTTTCACCTCACGATTGTCCACAGCGGTCGCTACAAGCCATCAGATACAATACAATGTCATGCGAGTGTCACACGACCCTCAGAAATGGTGCAGTCATGTGCAGGGCACATAGTCACCTGTTTGCAGTGAAAACACCACAAAATAGAGTGCTAGGAACACCCGACAATACATCAGTCTGACTTGCATGTCTTCATTGTTTAGTGAAGTGTGCTCTCCAGGCACTAAGAGGAAAGGACAAGTGTGACATTTCTTACACAGAGGCAGCTATTTCAGTGATGCAAGTGTTCACATCATGTTGAACACCTGCCTGTTGTTTTATTCCTATAGTACTGCCTCCATGCCCCACTGGTGGTATCTGCATTATAGTGCTCCAATTCGGGAGGCTCCCTGCAGCTTTAGACAGACATTTATATATTTCATCAAATATGCAGAAACCTTTAGTTCCTTCAATGCATTTGCAGGGATCACGTGGATGAGGCAGACTGTGCACTCGATGAAGGGCATGACATGTGAGTATACTAGTCTATAAAGTGTCTTAGTATTTTTCATTTGTGTTCCTCATCAATGGTAGCCACTCTCACTAACTGAAATCTAAAAGCACGGCACCATATTGCTTGAAGGTGACAAAAGATATCAACAACCACAAACAGCATGAACACAACCTTCAACTGGTTGGCCTATGCTTAGTTTGCAATGAGATCTGCTAGAGGCTGCTGCCGAAAATTCTGAGACCAATGAGTATTCTGTGTTCACTAGAGATTCTGAAGTTGTGCAAGTTAAATTGCAACTTGTACATGCAGAATTTTTTTTTAGTAATTTTTCATTTGGGAGGCATTTATTAGTGATATGCATAACCATTTAACGAGTATGTTACTACAACCTTATCATGCTTAGATACACAAAAAAAATTTTGTACATGCAGGCAATCCAGCAAAGATCCACCATTCTGCCCGGAGGAGTGGGACATGGACGAGTCTGATGATGATTGAGCCAGTTTATTTTTTTCCTAACTGGAATCAAGGCAGTGATGTGGTGCACAGGCTAGAGGTGGTACATTAAAAATGAATTGCAGAACTGATTATTGAGCCCGAAAACCATTGATCGAGAACTGGCCGGTTTGAGTCGCGTTCACTCTCTTATCCGCAATCACGTGCCGTTGTCTATGGTTTAGACACAACCACCAAAGATAATTAAAGTCGTGGGTCATCGAAGGCACACACACTCAAAATTAAAACTAGAAAAAAAAAGTATGATACCCATTTTTTGTGACTTCTAAAATTTTTTAAATATGTTGATTGAAAAAAAAAAAAAATAATAGTTGCACAGCCACATGACTTACGGCAACTCTCTCCTCTTTATATTTCTTCTTGCTCCCCAGTCCAGTTGTGGTCTTGAGCAGTTGTGTTTTCTGACTTTATTAAAAATATATGTGGCACTGTAGCAAAATATTGATTGGGTAGACTTGTGACACCAGAATAAATCGCCTGGCAAAAAATATAAAAAAAAAATGTTTTTGGGGAGTGTCAGTGTCCCTCTAATGTTAGTTATGATTTGGAGATCTTTGTGGCAGTGTTTTCATGTTGTTGCTCACAATCATAAAATAGGAGTCGGCCCACACAGCACACCATTCAACGCAAGTTGTGAATGTGGAAACATGCCGGCTGCGACGTATTGTTTCCGTTCCGCCTCAGGTTGTTGAAGTTCCTCATCCTCTTGCCGCCTGGGACGCTTTGAATTGCGATCTGCTTGTGCCTCACACTTTCAAAAGGCTTTTTTCTGTCTTCCAGCACGTAGCGCCACTGCTCGTTCTGCTCGTCGTGTATTCGGAGACTTGACAACGATGGTGGATTTCGCTGCCTGCCCCCTCGCTTGTTGTGCTGCGTTATTCCGCTCTTAGTTTGTCTGCGGTGTACTTGCATGGACGGGCAGGTTTCACTACTGCCGAGGTTGCAGCCGCTGACGATGTAGATGCTTAAGGCGCTGCCATGGTCGTCGGCGTCGAGAGGAGCAGATGCGGCCGAGTGCACACCAGCGTGTTCCTATTACCGGGGCGGGACCCACAGCACCTAGGGGTGGCGTTCCTTGAACTATGACGCGTGCACCCAATGGGAGCCTCGTTCCTTCAAACTATGGCGTGCGCCAGCCAAAGGGAGCCTATCCATCAAATCGCTGCCACAGACTACAGGCTTCGCTCCATTGGAACAAGGGACTTTAGGTGCCGTTCTGCGTGCGGCTTCCAAAGCTGATAATGCCGGTTCGTTTTATGGGACAGTTAATGCTTTCACATTAATAAATGGGAAGCATCTGGTATGACACAAAGTAGGATGTAAGCTTCACAGCATTTGGAATGTGGTATTTAAGAATTTAAATGTTGGTAATAAATTTATTAAATTGTAAACAAGTTTGCCTACCTTGATGATTAGATGCAGAATTGTCACCTTAATCTTCTGTATTCTTTCCGAGTAAAAATGCTTGTCAATTTACAGGTTAAAAACGGCAGTAATGAGGTAGAAGGACAGCAAAAGAAGCTGTCTTTTTAGAATCTCTTCAATGTGTGGAATACTCACAGTTAATACATCATATCTGCTGTATTTAACCAAGTTCTGACCCAAAATAGTCAAAGCATGCACGTAATCTCAAAATGCAACTAAGAAGCCCCTTGGATACAGCACATATCTTTATCACGTTTTGTTTGCATCTTATTCCAAGACCAGTGCACCACGACCGCCACCGAAGCCAGAGCAGATTTACAAGCCGAAGTTCCTCGTCTTCGATTCGTGCCTGAGGGAGCTGCTCGACAGGTGCCTGGTCTGTGGTGCACCAGAATGCAAAGTGAAGCTGGACTTTGTGGGCACGATGGTTCGGGCTGAAGTGACATGTCCCTATCACACTCTCGAACCTGGCGCAGCCAGCCTGTTTTGAACAGGAAGCCAATGGGGAACATTTCAGTGTTCTCTGCAATCCTGTTCTCAGGAAGCAGCCCGACCAAGGTGTTGCGACTGTTTTCTTTTAATGGGCATGCAGTCGTTGCAGAAGACGCAGTACTTCGCATTCCAGCGCTGCTACCTGCTGCCTGCAGTCACTGAGGTGTGGCAATTTAAAATTTTTGCAATAGCAGATGGGGTTTCACCTGTACATTCTCATTTATCGTAGGTCTGGCACTTCGAGCAAGCAACGCTCCTCGATGGTCTTCGAGGAAAGCGGTTGTGCCTTGCTGGAGACGGGAGGGCTGACACGCCAGGCCGCTCCGCAGACTTCGGCACATACACGTTGCTGGAGACGTCCACCAACCGTGTCCTGCACACTGAGCTTGTGAAAGTAAGGCATTACGCTGTAAGTACTGCTACATTATCTTGTGGACTTGGCCTCTTGTGACCAACTTAAAAAACTAACTGGAATGTTTTAGTGTTGAAGCCGCAGAGAAACTACAGCTGAGAACGGTGATTTACCCGGCAAAGAACTGAGAATTAATTTGGAAAACTGAGGGCTCTTCAGGACACAGTGACATATCAGTGCAAATAAGGTGCACGACAACTGTCAAATTGTCTCTTACGTCTGCCCATTTTGTGGCAGTGTGATCAAAGTTGATCTCTTGCACGTTGAAAATATTTTGCAGTCCAACGAGGTTTCGTCAAGCAACAGGATGGAGACTGAGGGGATGGAGCGGTGTCTGAACTACCTCCGTGCCCAAGACATGTCGGTCGACACGCTGGTAACCGACCGGCACTCCGAGGGCAAGGCTGCCCTGAGGAGGAACCATCCTGACTTCAGACATCATTTCGATGTGTGGCAAGTTGCCAAAGGTACTATGCTTGTTCTGCAGTCATTGTCAGCTGCTGACAGATGGCTGGTGATGCTGTCTGTAATTCCTGGCTTAGAGATGCTGCTCTTTTTTCTTTTTTTTTGATTCTAAGCTTTGTCATTCCTGGCTCTCCCAAGAACTTAATCATTGATTCATAATTCAACACTCCAAAGTCACAGACTTTTTATTATAGTGGAAAGAATAACCCTCATTCATCAGTTCAATTCTCTGAGCAACCGTGATTGCTTCATAGCCATGGGCTTAATTGACACGCCTAACTGATTAGTGGTGTCTGTTGCCAGAAAAGGTTGCAAAATTCCGCAGGGATAATTTTTGTTGCTGTCTAAACTGACTGAGAAACATTGTACTGTAAGATACCGTGGAAGTGCCCACTTCAAGCATCCACTCTTAACATGTTTCAGACTTAGGAATTCTGTAAATAATTTCACCGGACAAGTGCCCATGTCTAGATTGATTCAGTTTTCAGTGAAAAATGAGTGGGTGCTCTTCCGGTATTTTCCGGTAACTCCTACGTCTGTATGCACGATGCAATATGAAATTTTCTGTTTATGGTTATAGTGGCCAGACTTTGCACTAGTTCTTAGGTTTAGTAGATAATTTCATTAAAAAATAAGCTAAATACAAAGTGGTACCTCATTCTTTCATATGGTGGTTTGGGAGGGCTGAGTGTGTGATTGTAAGAAATATTGGCACATGTTCAGTACAAACAATTTAAATACAAAGGTAGATGGTGTTTCGGAGACAATGTTAATTACATAACAGTCTTTTGATAGTTTGGGTCCGGAAACTTCATCAGTATCCCATCTAGGAATTTCTCTGACCCATCGATGGATGCCCCCAGCTGTGCACACATAAACTACTGTGGGAGCTTCCTCACTCCAGCAACTGTAGCAGTGGGCAATGTGCAGCTATGATTATGTGATTTTTAGACATCAGGCGTAGCAAAAATAGAAAACAGCAGAACATTTCGATAATGTTGGTGACTATTCTATTCCACTCCGCCCTCTCCCGAAGGGATCAGCCTCTCGTATCATTTGTGAACATCTTGTAGTTTTTCTTGAAGATATAGGCATTTTACAGAAACAACAGCTAGGGTGCGGCATTTTTTAAGTTCAATTTTTAGTGAAATCCGAGTGTTCTTCAGAGTACTCTTTATCTTAAAAAGTAACTCTGGTCGAAAACGAATCAAAATAAATGACTTGGTATCGCTTAGTTTTAGTGGCACGAAATATGACCACAGCCGAAATATTGCGCCAAAGTGAAGTTGCATACTCCACTAAAACCAATTTTAAAGATGAGACCAGCTGCCCTTTACTGGGCGGCAAGCAAGTTAGCTCTTTGTCAAGGAGCACTGGCACAGCACCCTTGTGACATCGCGTCACACTGGAGCTGCAGTTGATTCTGCACGTTGTACTGCGTGCCGCAGCACCACGGTGACGTTCAGTCGTGGCTGTACGTCTGATGATCAGTGTTGCCATCCCTCTGGCAGGTAGTTTCAGGTTTTTTATAGACGCCCGAAACCAAACTTCGAGCTGTGATATTTACAAAACTATGCACAATACCTTGCAATTCAGGGATGCTGCCTTAGCTAAGAACAGTCGTAATCCCAAATTAAAAAAAGATGGACCTGAGCTGCCCTTTAAATTCAGATATTCAAAGATTTCGTTTGTTGCCTGCAAAAATTGGGAGTTTTTTTGGTTTATAAATCATTTGGCGGAGGTAGGGGACTGCAGTTAGTAGATTCATTAGAATAAAAATTGCATAGACAACACAATAAGAGCTGAGCCGTCTATGATGATAATAAATGTCTTTGGAAATAAATGCATGCACATATTTAAAACCTCTCACTTGTCTCAAGCCAATGTATCTGCAGCAGTATGTGCCAATTAGAATTCCAGTACTCAGTGATGGGAAGGGCAAATTTTCCATTCTTTGCGCTAACTTGCATGCAGAAAAACTTAGAAGCAATAAACGCTGCAACGATTCTTGAAAAGGGGGATCGGTGGCTGAGTGGGCTAACGCGCACCAAATCTGACCATGTGGAGCGAAAGCTCGCGCTGCAGAACCCAGGGATCCTGGGTTCGATCCCCAGCCCTGCCCGTTTCGATCCGGATAAGCATCGTACCGGCATGCGGTCGTGTATCACTACTGCGTGGTGCACGTTAAAGACCCCAGGCTAGCAGTTCATCTACAGCTGAGACACCAGATTCCCCTTAGGGCTGACCAACTTCTGGTATAGTCACAACACAATTACTTTACTTTAGTCTTGAAAGGGACAGATATTTCTTAGCTTAACCAGCAGATAGCTTGCATCTGGTCACCACATGCTGTTACTGAGAAAGCCTACTTGAAGTTTACACCCCTGTCAATATGGATGCGGCAAGGGAATGTGCAAATAGGTGCATAAAGACTGTCTGCAGCAAATGGAGGCCACTACAAGATATTTGCATGTCTAGGAAAGATACTTGTCCGACTGTAAGACCAGATGCTGAGTAGCTGGCCAGGCCTGACATGTTCAACGTTTGTCGTAAGAAGGATACCCTGTTTTTGTGCGAAGCATACAATATCTCGCAATTCAAGCAAAAATATATACCATTCAAATTTTTACAACTGGTAGCCCCCAAATTTCGAGTTTTCGGGTGTATCCGAATCCTCAATATTTTTGCCTCCCTGTGTTTTTCTGTTGTATGTTTCGACAGCCTAAAGATAAACAGCCTCAACGTGCGACTTGTCTCTCAGTTTATGAGCAATTTAGTCAGTGCAGTACATTGGCTAGCCTGGGGTCTTTAACGTGCATCACGAAGTAGTGATACACGACCGCACGCTGGTATGATGCTCATCCAGATCGAAATGGGCAGGGGCGGGGATTGAACCCAGGATACCTGGGTTCTGCAGCACGAGCTTTCGCTCCACGTGCTCTGAGCTGGTGTGCGCTAGACCACTCAGACACCGATCGGATCTATCAGAAAATCTCATTTATCATAAAATGCAGAACTCTAGCTATATACCTGTTTACTGTCATAGTGCACTCTTACTTACACTCTTTAATGTATTTAGTTTGGCAGAGTATGGCCAGTAATGATCTTGCACTAAAAATCTTGCAACCAACGACAGCAACATCAATAGACCATACCATGTTTCTCGTGCTTCAGTTCTTCCCAGCCAAAGCTCTCTGAGAGCATAGCAAAAGTTTCTAAACCAGAGCTTCCAAGAACTGTGGTTTTGCCATTGTGCACTCGATAACATGTTCTTATAAGTTAAATACACTGGTTTTTAGGTGTTAACAAGAAGATCGTCGCTGTGGCCCGACGAACGAAGCACAGTGCACTTCTGAAGTGGATCAAAACCATCATCCGGCACCTCCACTGGTGTGCTCGCACGAGTGATGGGGACGGCAAGCTCGTCCTGGCCAAGTGGGTGTCCTTGATCAGGCACATGATCAATGTCCATGAGCACCCTGATCCCCTACACCCAGCCTGTGAACACGGCAAGATCTCTGATCGTCTCTGGCTCGAGGAAGGCAAGTTTTACCCAGTTGTTTGGAGAGTCCTTGAAGTACTTTGTAAAGCATATCTTGGGCATATCGGGGTCTATGGTTCATACAATGGAAGCTAAATAACGCTACTAGAGACGCAGAGTTAACTGCTTACAAAACAGTGATATGTCCTATTTTGGAGTATGCGAATGTGGTATGGAGTCCTAAGAAGATAGACAAATTAGAAAAAATTCAAAGGCTAGCTGTGCTGCTGCTATATGTGCAAATAGACCATATGCGAAATGTAGAGCGCCATCAGTAGCGTGCCGAGAACCACGTCCGCCATCTTGGTAGTGGCGAGAAAACGAAACCAGTGACCCGACCGGCAAAGACCCCATGTAAACAAGTGACCACGCTTCGTGCGAGAGATGCAATGCCAACTCGTTGCTGCGTTCTGCTGCGGATGCAGCGATAAACCTTCGATTTGTGCATACCGTGAACACGAACATGAACAGGGTTCCCAATTTTTTCTTATTTTTATTTGTTACTTGAGATGCAGCTTTTGACAAAAACAATCGGGTAAAAACGCGAAGAAACATGTGGATGTTATCGCACATTAAGCCATTGACAACTGGGCCCTAATCTTTTCACGAACTTGTACCAAATTTCTTTCTGAACCTTTTTTTTTCACGTTGTAGTGTCGGTTTGCGTTTTTCTTGGTGTGCAAGCAGCTCAATGTATGCGGACGAGACCAAGGCTGTAAAGCGAGGCAAGAGGATGACAGTTTTAATACTTCACGCCACTAATCATAATTGAAGATGCGTATGGTCAACAGTGAACAACAAAAGCTAAAAGCACCACAGAGCCCACATTTTAATGTCATATACTTAAAAAAAAAATTAATTACTTTAGAAAGCCAGGAAACAATTTCATTGCTTTGCAGCGATTTCTATACACTTGATCTGGCGTCGGCACGCGAGGTTTGTAAAACACCTCTAAAACTAAACAGCTAGGAGAGTTTGTTGATATAATAGTCTTGAATATTTAAAGCATGCTCATGTAGAATAGAAAACACAACAGACACGGACGACGTATCTGTTTGCTCAACACTCACAGAGATGGGATTTTGCTGTCTTTTTGGTTGAACGCCATTTAACTTAGTGTCATCGCAGTGGCTATAACTTCTATGTCGGCGGTCGCGAAAACTTGCATTGCGGACGTCGAATGAAGCCACGTGGACGGTGCCACCTTCATTTTACAATCACTTTTTCTTTTTCTGAGGGGGGTGGGATGTTGTAGTTGAGGTAAAATTTTTGTTTAGTGCGAAGTAGTTTTGAGAAAGTTAGTGCAGTTATTCTGCCAGGGTTGAACAAATCTTGATTAATAGTGCAACATCCGTCAACTGCACGTGCTTGAGGTCAATGCTATCTGAAACCAATTTGAGCTCTTTGCAATGCCTGAAAAATATTGTTTAGCGCACGGTTTTCTTAAAAAAAAACACAAAGCTTTACAAAAAAAAAAAGAAAAAAAACCTTTCGCCAGTAACAAATAAAAAAAAAGCTAACCTTGAGTCGCATGTATTGGCATGGAGCAGTCTACCCGGAAACAGAACAACTTCATTGGTATTTGCATCGAAAAAAGACTTAAAAGTGCTCTCGGAGATGTAGTACCCCTCATGGGGAGGTCTTTAAGGTAATAAAGTGAAGTGAAGAGATGAAAGGCATGACAGCCTAGTTTTTTGTCCACGTTGGATGATCGGAAGTCAGAAAACAAAAAAAGTTTCTGATTCACACCTAGTGGCCAAGCGCCCATGTTCTGGAAATGCTGAGAAACCGAAACTGAAGATACTTGATGTTACCAAGATGGCCGCATGCACGGTGGTGCCAGACCACCAAGCAGTTTCGCATATGGTCTATTGCCGGTCATGTTGACTGAATCACTCCATTCACGCTGATATGGTGGCCCGAGCTCCGATGTATCGCGTCTGCTTGCAATTTTCCAGGAATTCGGCAGTCATCCTAATTACTGGTGTTTGATCTCGTGAGATGGTTGTCCTGGTGAAAGCCTAACCAGCCGCTTATTGAACCAGCTCAAATGGGGGAAGGTACTCACTTAATAACAAGAGTGATGATAGCTGCTGCTGAGAAATACAGGAGTGCTTTTCCAGACAGATGTTCTGCGACTTGCACAACCCCAGAAAAAGATTAAATGATTACTGAATGAGCCATCCACTAGCTGACAGTTTTTGGCAGTTACCTATGGCTAGGTGAGTGAGGGAGTGGAGAGATGTGCTTATACTAAAGCCAGTAAAATTGCAGTAATCAACCTCAATAAGTGGCCACCCCTGCTCAGCCTGTCCCATTGTGCTGAGTCATGGAGCTGTTGGTTCGGTTTTAGTTGGGCAGGGCTCCATTGAAATAAGGCGCAGTTCATGCATTCAGCACACAGTCATGTCCAATTATTATTGACTCTGTTTATGTAAATAATACCCAAAATATAAAGAGCTTTTGGTGACAAACCAGGTAAATACGTGCATTTTTTGTCTTGTTATTGTGCATGAGTCACTTTATAAACAGCGTTTTTGGAGAAAAGAGGCTGTTCATATCAACGAGACGTGACTGCAACTGGTTTGGGGACCACCGTCCAATACTTTTAATTAATATTACTTAAGGAGCACTTTACTTATTGTAGTTACTACTTTATATGAAGTGCATTAGCTGTAAGTTACTTTGTATTCTACATGAAATATCTCTTACCTAACACTGGATTACCAATGTTATTATAATAATTGATGGCTTCCATAACAAAGTTCTGCTTTTAAACTTGCCCAGGCACTGAGACATTCAAGAAGCTGGAAGCTATCCTGATGGCACCGCACCTCCTGAGGGACATCCCATTCCTGTCGGCAAAGGAGCAGACGTTTGGACTAGAGTCCTTTCATGCAGTCTTGATCCACTTTGCCCCGAAGTCGAGCAAGTTCCTCTTTGAGGGAATGCTATCACGGTAAGAAAAATAGAACTAGACAATGTAACTGCAAGTGCAAAATATTTATGTCATTATTTTGAAAACAGCCATTCAGATATGTTCACATTTTAACTGCAGCACCTACATCGCGGCCCTGCACTTCAACCATAATGCGGACAGGGACGTCTTGATCGACGAAGATGGAAATCCAAGGTTCCATCAGAAGTGCTCCAAGGCGGACAGGCGATGGACTGTTGTGCCTGCCAAAGAAGCACTCACATATGGTGAGGATCTGAGTTTTAAGCACTTTGTAATATTCATAAAGTTGTGATCATGAGTGCAAGTATTAAATATAAAAGTTGTGTTTGAAGCTATGAAAAGAGGTCATACTAAGACATTTCAGCTGCTACTTTAGATAGGAGAAAATCAATGCATGGAAAACAGCAATGTACAATTTATAATGGTTTTTCACACTACTTTTGTTTCGTAGACTATGTGCAGAAGCTGATCGACGCTGTGCTGGGGTGCTTGGTTCGGTGGCCCACCTACGCCATTGCCGAGAGGGCTGCTTACCGGCAGTCCCATGACACTCTCAGCAGCAAGTGTGGCGTGAAACCACAGCTGGAGGACGCCATCGCAAGGCATAGATCACGCTTCTAAACTTGAGAAACCTGCACGATTCTGTATGTGTGCTTACTACCTTAATCGCAGTCAGCAGGAACACCGGTGTGCATGGCATAGAGTATTTTCCGACCACTCTAATGGCCGAACACGCAACTGCAGCGCGTCTTCATCGCTGCAGTTGCGCGCTGGGCCATTGCATGCTCTGGTAGTACAAGATGCCACCATACTTTTTCTGTGATTAACGTAGTGCATGCAGAACTGATTGTTTCTTTGTTCTGGTTGAGACATCTAACATTTTCGGGCCAAATGGTGCAGCCGTGGACCACCAGTTCTGTGGGTAGTTTACAGTTTGTGAGGGCTCAATGGATCGTTTAAGTATGTAATTCTTACTTTTTCTTCTCATTGCGCACTCATTCTGCTGGAAACCTGATACCGATGGGAAGGCCTTCTTCATTTTTGCCTTTTATTTGTCCGAAGTTCGTTGAACAATGGCCAATCTGTCTTACCATGCTTTGGACATGCCGTGAAGTTTCTTGAGAGTGAAATAGGTTGTTTGCTAGTTACTCCATCCGTAGGCTACAGCTATGTGGTCATCTTGTTCAGCCATATTTTCACTGTAGGGGCTGGGCATCCCACGGTGGATTGTAGGTGGGCACAAGCAGGGAGCTTGCCGTGGTCATTCTATCTGTAGTGCTTGAAGCCTCCCTTAGTTGGCTATGCTGTGGTGTCTGGGTTGTTTGAAGAACCTAGGACACCCATCGCAAAGCCTCACTTAGTGCAGTTTGTACGGTGACTTGCATCAGCACTTGGAAGTCAAACACTCTGGGTGTCCTTTCACGGTACATAGTGTGGCGGTTTGTTGTGTCTGCACCCTAGGGTGCCCACTTCGAGTTGCCGTGGCCACTGGATTTGTCGTATAACTTTACATCGCTCTCCTCAATGCGGTTTGAGTGGTCCTGCCGCATCGTGTCTTTGTTTCCTCGTCCTTGGGTCGTTTCCTTCTATTTTAGGTTCCCCGTGGCATACATGTCAAAACTGCCTTTGAAGTCATTGGGTGAATCACGAAGAGAGCATTTGCAGAGTGGTATGTTTTCTACGTCAATCTGAACAGGATTCCCATCAGCATTTCCGATTTTGTTTATGAAAGTTTCTTCTGTAGTCAACCCGTTGCCAACTTTCCTTTCGTACGTTGGCATTTTCTCCCAGCATATCTGGCAGGTAATATTGAATCTCTTCAAAACAAAGCCTCTAGATTCATAGCTCGTGACTCCTCACATTACCAGTGTAACCGACCTGAAACATCAGTTTAACCTGTTACCTCTTTGCACTAGAAGGTGTTTTGCTTGCCTACCATTTATTTAGAGAGTCTTTGCTATGGCTGGCCCACCATAGATCATCCAATTTATTGTTACGTTCGAGAAGTCATAGTTACTTTAATTACCCAAGAGCATTAATAAGGGACTGCCAACTAGGCCCACCGTCCGTTCAGTTCAAAGTCCCTTGCCGGAGTGTTTACGTGTGTCGCACACTTGCACAAGCTCTGGTGCTCATCGCTGTTTGTGCGGTTCCTGACGATGGTAGCTTTTCTATTGCAACATATCAATCCTTCCACCCAGGAGGAAGTCCTTACAGGGGAATGCCTGACCGTTGGCGTTTAGTTGTCTGGAACTTGGGCGACTGGGATGCTGCACATGACGCAGTTTCAGCAATATCATGTGAAGCATCTGGTTTGCAAATGTCATCTGTGTCACAGCCTACTAGGCTGATGGAGCAGAACTCTCTTTTGCCTGTGTTGTCTTCTGGATGTAGTCCAAATGATGTCGTACCTTGCTGCTGTCATCGATGAGCCAACAACATAGACCAATACGACGCAGAATCCAGCTTCGTCGGGAATTGTCGGCGAAGTACTTTCTTCCCTCTGAAGAAGCGTCGTGCTGCACTGAGCTTGTCTTGATTTTCCTTGACATCTATTCCGGTCTTCGGCCTCAGCAACTCAAGGGGGCAGGGTAGTTTTCGGCTGAACATTGCCTTCGCTGTTGCGACTCCTGGAATGTTGCTGAAAAAGGAAACGGGCCAGACGACGCTGTACGCTACCTGTTCTGTTTTTGATGGGTGACCTCTTGAGTTCTGCAACATGGGTTTCTACTTGCCCATTTGTCGCAGGATGGTATACTGCTGCTGTCACAGCTTGCACTCTGTTTGACTTGTAAAAATTTTTAATCTTGTTGGAGATGGACGCATATCTGTTGTCAGACATCATTTCTTGTGGTATGTCAATTTTAATAAGAGGCTTCGTTTCAACGGCAGCTGCAGATTTTGCCCGAGGCATTTGACATACCCTCAACCTTCTGTGTTACAGGCATCTAATACAACTAGGTAGGTTTGCCTAGCGTTCTATTTACTGAAAGGTAGCGCACCTCCCCCTCTCCAGGTTTCCCTTCCTCCAATCGAGGGCGATCCTCCACACCCTCCTTCTGCGCCATGTCCCCCCCTCCCCCCCCCTCCCCTGCCGCCATTTTCGTGCAAGGCATACAAGGTGCTTGCCTATGTGGCAGGCCGTACTTCTTTGCTATTGCATGCGAAAAACAATTTTTTTTTTCAGATATGAAAACAGTTTTGTTTTTTAACGTGGGGAAACTAGCATTTGCGCACCTTTATTGGAGTTCTGAAGCAGGAAAAGATGTCTCGATTGGCAAATATAATAATGTGAGCAGAGTTGGAGTCGCTCGGGTGTGAAAACAAGCTTTCTTCAGTTTTGCTGAACACAGACAATTTAAAAGATAAAAAATGTGAATGTATTTTGTGAGATTGACATGCACTGCAAATATATATTGCGTTTAACCATTTATTGCAGCTAGTGCTGAGAGCAGGCACATGAGAAGGCACCTCTTGCTGTGTGTAAATACAGTTTAGTGGATCATAGGCAAGGACTGCATTGCTAGCAGGAGCTCATGCCATCGCTTTGTGTATGGATTGAGCATGCGCTTACAAGGCCCACAATCATTAGCGTAGGCTGCTACTAAAACTTTTTATACTTCATGTCACAAGTTGTGTTCAGCAAAAACATAGGTGTGGACACTTGTAGCTTTCAGATTTGCTTTCCTTTCGCGAGTGCTTATGAGAGGAGAGAAAATCTGAAAACCGCACTCTCAACTGTTTTTGCCACTGCTGCTCGCAACTCATAAGATGGAGTATAGGGAGTATTTACTGGAAGCCACAGCTGTGTGTGCGACTGCCGAGCGTATGCTGACAGCGTAATTCCACAGTTCTTGGGCAAGGTGCATTCCATACTATCAAAATTATTGGTCTTACCAGCCCATTAATGTGAGCTCGTTCTGAGCATGTGCTTTAAACAGTGCCCTCAAATATGGTATCCAGTGAATACCCCCTATAGTATCTTGAACAAAGTACATTTGCAGACTCAGCATCACTTGAGTTAGGCAAATAAAAGACTAAGAACATAATAGCGCCTGAAGACAGAGGCAAGAGTAGGAACGAGACGACACAATGCGCTAGCGTATTGTGTCGTCTCATTCCTACTTTTGTTTCTGTCTTGAAGTGCTATTACGTTTTTAAAGCTTCAGTACCAACTCGCCCAAAAATCCGCACTACTAAAATAAAAGACAGCACGACACGTGCGAACCCAGGACTTTTCGGTAATTTTAAACATTATGGATCGTTCTGTTAACCAGCAGCTTGGTTTACTTCATACTGTTTTTGTAATCATTGAATACTACCTGCAACTGCATGTGCGCATGGAGTAATATGCAGTCTGATATTTACATGCCTCATGAATTTAACTACCCACCAAATACACTCATCTCTCCAAGAAGAAGTCGAAACTTTTCCGACTGATTTGGTAAAGCCAGTGTCTTTTCCGCTGAAGATTTTCTTTTGCCGTTGGGACGCTAAAGAGCTCCTCTTTCTTTGCAACGCTGTTCATACAATTCATAGTGCAGCAAGATGGCATCGCGCTGCCTCCTAGGTCGTGGGACATAAAAAATAAAAAAAAGCCTAGACAGGGCTGTCAGCAACAAAACCACCTCCATACCTCGCACGAAAATGGCGCCAATTCAGAGCAGATGACAGAATCGAGTGGGATAATTGAAAGGAACGGTCAAGTGTGGCTCCCCATCCAATTGAAGCACGGGAAAGAAATTTCTAGAGGGAAAGGGCATGGCCGAGGAGGAATCTATCTTCCCTATTTCAGACAATGGTTGGAGCTACCTTTTAATATATAGCAACCTTAGGTGTGCTTGTGTACTGGTTTTGCAAAGCCTAGATGGATTGTGTGCCGGGTGTCTCTGGACGTTTCAATACAGGAATCGGTGTCTTATGTGGAGTCTTCTGTGTGTTTTGGCGTTCACTGCAGTGCTGTCTCTTCAATCTCAGCGTCAAGCCCCCCCCCCCCCCCCCCCTTCCCCCCCTACGTAGCTTCGTGCACACCTTTTCCATGCCACCATGCCTCTGTGCCCCGCATGTATAAGCGCCAAAATATGAGAATTACCGAAGAGCATTATAGAAAAATAAGAGACGGCCAGCTAGGCCCAACCACACATCACTTATATAACCGATGCACTTTATCTCTTTGCCATTTTGGATTGAAGAAGCTTACCCGGAGAAGTTACCCCCCTCAGTGATCACTTGTCCTTTTGTTTCGGCTCTTATATGTTCCAGCCTCAATAGGTTGAAAAATTTCTGCATTGATTGAACTGATTCCACTGTGTCTTTATTTACATGATTTGCTTTTAGTTGCTTGTGTTTTGTAAATTCATTATTTTTACTCTTATATGTTTCTTGGTTCTGTTCACAAAGACTTACTGTGTGTATCCATGCCTTGCACGTGACGTCATATGGCACCACACCAGAGGCCACTGCTCCGTACCATGCTCTTGTGCCCGCACCTTCTGCAGCATACATTTCGTATTATCGAATTTGTTCTTCCTGGCAAGCCTTGCCGAATGAACCAATTCAATTGTGCCAAATGTATGCTGCAGAAAGTATGGGCACAGGAGCATGGTGCAGAACAACGGCGG